GCTGTACGTAGACAACAAGGCCATGCTGGCCTTGTGTCGAGAGCAGAGACTGGAGCACAGAACGAAGCACATTGCTCTCCGCTACTTCCTTGCTCGTGAGCTGCAGCAGCGTGGTCAGCTGCGGCTTGCGTACGTGGCCTCTCAGGCCAACACTGCTGATATCTTCACCAAGGCACTTGCGCCTTGTGATCATCAGTGCTTCTGTACTCAGCTGGGTCTTGTGCCTACCTTGCCTCACTTGCTCACCCCTTGACCTTGTTTGTACTGTTGCATATATATATACACCTGCTCTTGCTTGTCTAGCCTTATATATATATGTAATCCTGCATGTGAACTGGCCTTGTGGCCTTGAACTTGTGCTCGGAATGTGTGGTGACTTTGTGATCCACCCTGAGCTTGTTTTGCTTTGCTTGACTGGTCTTGTGACCCCTTGTTCTCCCCCACTTTGCCTATGGGGGTGTGTCAGATTTATATGACATAGCTACTGTAGGCTATAGTGGGGTAGCACATATGGGATACAGTTTTCTAGGGTTTGCATTTGTACCCAACTTTCCCTTAGTCATTTTCATTCCTCGTTTCTTCTCACGGGTGGCAGGAGAGAGGGAGGAGTAATGTCGAACCACAGCGGCGTAAAATGTTTGGACCGATGTTACCAGACGAATGTGGGCCTTGGTCAGCAGGTGAGCTCGGACGGCAAGCGGTGCGATACCGTCACGCTCCGTCCACTGTGTGTAGGCAAGGAGGTTCGCCCGGTACCGCCACTTCACGTCCTCGCCAGCGTCAGCAACAGGCTCAGTGAGAGTCGTGGGGGCCCGAAGGGACGATCAGGGACGCCATCTCTATATGAAACGACGGAGATACCGTCGCAGGCACTCGAGCCACCACTCTAACAAGAAAGGACACCCGTTGTCGTCAACCTCTAGGACAGTGATAGTGGCCATGACAGGCAATGGCAGTCAGCAGCGGTGGCGCAAGGGTGGCAGTAGCGACTGCGGCGGAGGAAGCTGTAGCGGCAATTGCAGGGGCAGCAGTGGCGGTTGCTGCGGCTGCAGCGATATAGGCAGCTGCAGCGGTGGCAGCCGGTGTAGCGGTAGTCGCAGTGGCAGCTGTAGCGGCAGTGAACGAGCAGGCACAGCGCAGCCGCGCGCGTTGGCAGGCACGAGGCAGCAGGGTGCTTAGGGCGCCTAGAGTAGGGCGCACGGGGCGCAAGGCAGCAGGGCGCGCGGCGCGCGGGGCAGGAGGGCGCGCGAGCGTGTAGGGCAGCAGGGCGCGCGGGGCGCATTGGGCAGCAGGGCGCGCGGGGCGCGGGGCAGCAGGTTGAGCGAGGCGCGAGGCAGCGCGTGCGGCACGCATGGCAGCACGCCGAGCACGATGCGCGGGGCAGCAGGGCAGTGGCGTGCGACGTGCGGGGCAGTGGGGCAGTGGCACTCGATGCGCGGGGCAGCGGAACAGTGGCGCTCGAGGCGCGGGGCAGCGAGATCAAACCTATCCTAATCGTAGGTTCGGTGTTTTGTTCGGCAGTCGGACCTAACCTAGCGCAAGATTCCATGTTAAAGGCCAAACCCCGAATTACACAACGAAGTCAATGTAAGATTTGCAGGTTCGGGAATCGGGAAACCCCAGGAGGAAGTTCGGTGGGAAAATCGAAAACCAATCGCATAAAAGAACCACTAAAAAATCTGGACCAATCGCGTGAAGGTGGTGACAGTTTGACGCCCGACTCGGTGATTCTCGGTAAAACGAGATTGACGAAATATATCCTCTCGTCACAACCCAAAACTGAACTCCTCCCCATCAACCTTTTATAAGGGCGTGTGTCTTTTGGCGAAATTTGTCAAAGTTCGAACATTAACCGCTTTGCACCGTGGCAAACGTCTCTCAATAGTATTGTACCGAGTAGAACCTAGCTAAAAGTTAGAACTGACACAAGTTCGAATCCCTAGTGCACACGCCCTAACTCGTGCACTTTGTGCAAAAACTGAAAGAGAGTAGCGCGGAACGAATTTGACTAGGAAGATGGGATTCAAAAGGTGAAACCCTAGAACTGTATCCGTACAGCCCCACTACAGCCTATCACCATATTGACATACCGCGGAATTAGAGTTTGGGCGAAGAGTCGGTCTGGTAGGGTTTGAGCTCAACCAAGTCCAATTTAGTTTCTTCGCATTCCGCAAACCCCGCGGTTCGCCGTACACGTTGCCGCGCACTCCAGCAGCGCAGCCCTCGCATCGTCTCCCTCACGGCGGTTGTGAGCGTCGGTGTGGCGAGCATGGCGACCTTCGAGGCGTACGAGCGGCAGTTCAACGGCATCGTCGACGCCTTGTCACACGGTACGCATCACCATAGGCCGCCACCGCTCGTCTCGTGTTTGCGCTCCTCCGCCCTGCATGGTTCCCTGTGTTTCGCTCGTCGCTCCTCATCGGTTTCATCGCGTCGCGCGTCTCACTCATCCCGACGTGGCCGTGCAGGTGCGTCCAGCGGTCGGCTGCACGAGTCGCAGCGGCGCATCGACGACGCGGAATCACTGGTACGTCGCCGCCGCTCCCCCCGCACCCTCTTCGAGTCCTCCAAGGCTCTCTCTTATGTTCGCCACCTCGTTCGTCCCTCCGCTCTTCAGTCCCCACCCCGCTGCTCTCCTCCCCGCCCCGCTGCTCTCCTCCCCGCCCCGCTGCTCTCCTCCCCGCCCCGCTGCTCTCCTCCCCGCCCCGCTGCTCTCCTCCCCGCCCCGCTGCTCTCCTCCCCGCCCCGCTGCTCTCCTCCCCGCCCCGCTGCTCTCCTCCCCGCCCCGCTGCTCTCCTCCCCGCCCCGCTGCTCTCCTCCCCGCCCCGCTGCTCTCCTCCCCGCCCCGCTGCTCTCCTCCCCGCCTCGCTGCTCTCCTCCCCACCCCGCTGCTCTCCTCCCCGCCTCGCTGCTCTCCTCCCCGCCCCGCTGCTCTCCTCCCCGCCTCGCTGCTCTCCTCCCCGCCCCGCTGCTCTCCTCCCCGCCCCGCTGCTCTCCTCCCCGCCCCGCTGCTCTCCTCCCCGCCCCGCTGCTCTCCTCCCCGCTCCGCTGCTCTCCTCCCCGCCCCGCTGCTCTCCTCCCCGCCCCGCTGCTCTCCTCCCCGCCACGCTGCTCTCCTCCCCGCCCCGCTGCTCTCCTCCCCGCCCCGCTGCTCTCCTCCCCGCCCCGCTGCTTTCCTCCCCGCCCCGCTGCTCTCCTCCCCGCTCCGCTGCTCTCCTCCCCGCCCCGCTGCTCTCCTCCCCGCCCCGCTGCTCTCCTTCCCGCCGCACATATTCCTTCTTCCCCCCTCCTCCAGATTCGCCAGATGGATCTCGAGGCGCGCTCGCTTCCCCCCACCGACCGCGCGCATCTGCTGGCGCGCCTGCGCGCGCACAAGCTCGCGCTGCTCGCCGCCAAGAAGCGCGCCGCCGAGACGGGGGGGGAGGGGGGAGTCGTGATGGGCGGGCAAGCAGGGGGGCAAGCGGGGTCACGAGGGGTGGGGAGAGCGGAGGAGGAGAGAACAGCGCTGCTGGAAGATGGAAGGGACTATGTGCCTCTATCGGTATGTGCCTCTATCGGTATGTGCCTCTATTGGTGTGTGCCTCTATCGGTATGTGCCTCTATTGGTGTGTGCCTCTATCGGTATGTGCCTCTATTGGTGTGTGCCTCTATCGGTGTGTGCCTCTATTGGTGTGTGCCTCTATCGGTGTGTGCCTCTATTGGTGCGTGCCTCTATCGGTGTGTGCCTCTATCGGTGTGTGCCTCTATCGGTGTGTGCCTCTATCGGTGTGTGCCTCTATCGGTGTGTGCCTCTATCGTTGTGTGCCACTATCGGTGTGTGCCTCTATCGGTGTGTGCCTCTATCGGTGTGTGCCTCTATTGGTGTGTGCCTCTATTGGTGTGTGCCTCTATTGGTGTGTGCCTCTATCGGTGTGTGCCTCTATCGGTGTGTGCCTCTATTGGTGCGTGCCTCTATCGGTGTGTGCCTCCCTCTCCCCAGAGGGCAGGGACCACCAATCCGTCTGCCAGTGGAACACCGTGTCCATCCATCCATCTTGCGGCCCTCCCCTCCTCCTCTCTTCTCCTACTTCGCCCCTCCCCCCCCCAGGGCGCGGCGGACCAGCGCGCGCGGCTGCTGCAGGTGACGGCGCGGGTGGAGGAGTCGTCAGCGCGCGTGGCGGAGAGCCGGCGCGCGATGGCGGGCACGGAGCAGCTGGGCGTGGCCATCCTGGCGGACCTGCACCAGCAGCGCCATTCCCTGCTGCGCGCCGGCGACACGGTCAGGGGGGCCAGGCATCTCACTCTCTCCTCTCTCACTGCTCGCACCTCTCTCACTGCTCGCACCTCTCTCACTGCTCGCACCTCTCTCACTGCTCGCACCTCTCTCACTGCTCGCACCTCTCTCACTGCTCGCACCTCTCTCACTGCTCGCACCTCTCTCACTGCTCGCACCTCTCTCACTGCTCGCACCTCTCTCACTGCTCGCACCTCTCTCACTGCTCGCACCTCTCTCACTGCTCGCACCTCTCTCACTGCTCGCGCCTCGCTGTGCCCTCAGAAGCATTCACCTGCCATCCCGTGTGCGCTGCGTGTGCCATGCGCAGCTGGAGGACGTGGACCACCAGATGAGTCGCGCGAGGCGCGTGCTGGGCGGCATGGCGCACAAGCTGCACCGCAACAAGTGGATCACCGCGCTCATCCTCGCCCTGCTGCTGCTCGCCATCGCTGCCGTCATCTACCTGCGCCTGCGCCACTAGCCACTAGCCACACCACATGCCAGCCCGGCCCCTCATTGTACAGCTCCGCTCGTGTTATGCTTCTCATGTATATGTGGACTCATGCAACACAAAGGAACCCATTGTAATGCTTATTGCTTGTAATGCTCAATGCAGGTTGATTTCTCTCGTGAAGCTTTGGGTTTGGGCACTGAGATTCACAGCAGCTGGTTAAAGGCCGCGGCACAACGAGCTTATGACAACCCAAATGCCTCATCACATGCAATTAGGCTATGCCATATTCAGTTACATCGTATCTTCGGCAGGCTCCTTACTCTTCTCTCCCTCCCCGCTCTCCACATTCTCAGGCTTAGCCACCCTTAGCCCTCCACCCCCACCAGCACCGCCCCTCCTGCCATCCTCCTCCCCCTGCCACGGCAGAATGCAAAAGGGCCAGCACTCGAGGGGCGTGGAGCGGCGGCAGGGCAGGGCGCGGCACTTGAGGGCGCGCGGGGTGACCCAGGTGAGGCCTTGGTCCAGCACGGGCTTGACCCAGGAGCGGCAGGGGTGCTGCGCGAGGTCGATGGCTGTGGCCGTGAAGTGGTTCAGGTGCAGCACGTCCCGCGGCGCCGTTGCCACCGACTCCGGGGGCGCCGTGGTCGTGTGGATGGCCACCGAGCTGATGGCGGGGGAAGAGAAAGGGGGAGCGATGGGTTGAAAGAACATGTGGAGGAACCGAGAGGAGAGTGATGAGAAGGACGCGAGAGCGAGAATGGAGCTTGGGCAGTACTACTCACTAGGGCGGCACTCACTAGGGCGGCACTCACTAGGGCGGCACTCACTAGGGCAGGATGGTTTGCGGGTTGACAGCGAGCTTGTCATGCCAGCCCGCCCAACCCCTCCGTGTGCCACATGGGCTGAGCGCAGCGCCACGTGAGGCGGTCCAACACCGGCTCGCGCCGCGACTCCGCCTCCACGCCCCAGAAGTTGAAGCGACGCAGCTGAATCACCTGCAGGAGCATGCGGGGTTAGGAAGAGAGGAGACGAGTGGGGCATTTGACGCATTCGCGTGCAACACGGCACAGTCGTCATAAGGCAAGAGCACATGGACGAGGGGGTATGATGTGAGTGCAGAGCGCAAGGACTCCTCCCGGCGGTGCCATGGTGCTGCGCTCACCCGCAGGGGCTCCTTGCTGCCGGGCGCGAGCGCGTGTGGTTGAGCTCGAGGCGCGCGAGCAGCGGCTTGAGGAAGCCGCCCGTGCGCGGCTCGTACCACACGAACTCGTCGCTGTCGATGTGCAGCTGCCACCGGTCTCCCCTCCGCCGCCCCTGCATGAGGCAGTGCTCGTATGATATGATCTGATCGTATATCTCCGGGAACTGGCGACACAGGGGGGCGTGGGATGAGAAGGGGAGGCGTGCGCCAGAGGAACAGGGAGCAGGGATGGCATGGGAGAGCAGCAGGGGACATGGGAATGAGGGGGGCATGGAGGGTGCGGGGTATGGAGAGGGACGGGCAAGGGGAAGCATGGGGAAGGCAGCAAGAGACCTGTTTTTTTCTGCGACATGGCATTGGAACCAGTTGGTGAGTGGCACATGTGCAGGCGGGATGGAGATTCGTGAGGTTGGGAATGAGGCGAGAAAAAAATTCACCAGGTACGGCACTCACGAGGTACGGCACTCACGAGGTACGGCACGCGGGCCTTGCCAGCGTAGAGCGCGTGTCGATAGAAGACCTCGCTCCAGGGGGAGAAGGGCACGTGCTGCACCTGCCCGCGCTCGCTGTACGGCGCCAGCAGGGCTTGCATGGCAGTGGCGTGGCGGTCGTACACGTAGATGCGCTGCACGCCCATCAGCAGCGCCGCGTCGATCCACTCCAGCAGGCGCGCGTGTGAGAAGGCCACGTCGAGGGAGAAGAGCTGCCGCGTGTGGAAGGGGCGCAGGCAGATCGCCACCGCCCCCATTGCCCTCCTCCTGCCGCCCCCACTGCTGCTGCTGCTGCTGTGTGCAGTGGTGCTGCCCCCCTGCTCCTGCGTGGCGGCGTCCTCCCCATACTCCACCAGCATCTCCTCCGCACTGCCCCCCTCCGCCCCCGCGCCCTCCCCTTTCCCCGCCCCTTTCATCCTCGCTTTGCCCCCCACTCCTCCCCCATCCCCCCCCATCAGCCTCGCCAGTTCCGAGCCCCCTCCCGAGCCTGCATTAGCCGCGGCAGCCACCTCCCTCTCAACGGCAGCGAAGGGGAACGGCGGGGCGCGGCTGCCCGGGTCCACGGGGAGCCCGTCACTACCGCCACCACCGCCGTCGCCATCACTGTCGCCGTCAGCACGGCAGAGCAGCAGGGGCGGCATGCGCAGGTCGGAGCCGTTGCGGGCCGCCACCAGCTGCACCTGCAGGCGCTGCCCGTAGTCCACGTAGTGCCGCCGCGCCTCCCGCCGACTCACCCTCACGCGCACCGGCACTGCCGCGTCTGCGGAGGGGTCCGCAGACGTGTCCGCAGGAGGCGGGGAGGCGGATTGGGAAGGCGGGGAGGGGAAGGGCGGGAGGGGGCATTCGAGGGCGATGTGCCAGGGGTGGCGGTGGCGCACCACGGCGTCCACCACGAGGGCGGGCGCCACGCTGTGCAGCGCGGGGTCGTGGCCCGGCCACACCAGGCACTTCACCTGCAACGCGCCCCGCCAGTACACGTCGCTCAGCTCCGCCGCGCCCCACCCCTCCCACTGCGTCTTGCGGATCGACTCCTCGTCCTCCAGGAACGCCAGCAGCCTCACCCACGTCGTCACCGCCGCCGCCCCTCGCTGCCCCTGCCGCCCCGCCTTCCCGCCGCCTCCGCGCGCGTCCCCCGCGCCATCCGCCGCCTCGTGCAGCGCCTCCGCCTCGAACACCGTCAGCTGCGCGAACCGGCTGCCGAAGCTCGCCCCGTCGCGCGCCTCCTCGGGGCTCACGAACGTGCCCTGCGCGAACGGCGCGGCGGCGCTGCCCATGCAGAGGCGCACCTTGGCGCCGCGCGCGGACAGCGGGCGCACCAGCGGCGGTAGCTTGACCTCGCCGCGGCCGCACACCGGGCAGCCTCGTAATGTTTCATGTGACCGGTAGGGGACGGCCCTCCCATTGGGGTCACGGGCGTCAGGCAGGCGTGGCGCGTCGGGCTGAAAGGCGATCCACACGACGAGAAAGAGGGCCGCGGCGACGGTGAGCGCGGCGTAGTGGCAGAGCGCGCGCGCCTGGGCGGACACGGCGCGCGCGGGGAAACGGAAGGGCAGGCGGCGGGCTTTACTATACGGCTGTGACGACAGCAGGGAGCGCGAGGAATGCGCGGAGGCCAGCGGCTTATCTGCGGTGGGTTGGTGGGGCAAGCGCGGCGCGAGAGGGACCTGCGGCGGTACTGCGCGCAAGGAGGCGAGCGGAGGAGCGGGAGTGGCGGAAGAGGAGAGATCGAAGGGAGACGCAGCGGCGACAGCAGGCGAGGTGCCAGGCGCCCGACGACCAGGTTTGCCCGTCGCTGCCGCTGATTGCCACCTGCTGACGTCACTCATCACCACCAACAGCGGCTGGTCATAGGTGTCGCGAAATGAAAAATCGTCGTCGTAGTGTTTGCGATGAGTTTCTAGCAAGAGTGGAATACCAATGCAACGCATACGCCTGGTCCACAGCAATTTCACGCCCTGCAAGTTTGGACTGAAAACACCCTGACCTTTTTAGGATTTTCGAAACACACCCTGAAATTTGAGGCTATTCATGACATTCACATGTGCATGAAGGCACAAACTCCCACTATGTGATCGCAGCAGACGGACCAAGCATTCCGTTGCGACTAACTTAGGGTAAATTCCTAGCTCGTGTCTGACATCAGGTCATAGGCCCTTAGTCTCTAATTTGCTTCTTCTGAATGTTGTTTTGCCCCTAGACCGAGCCACATCGGGTCTTCCGGTCCTCCACTTCGTGTTTGACCTGATGTCAGACACGAGCTAGGAATGTACCCACATGTATTGAAATCTTGAAGATTGCCCTCCCTAAAACTTGCCAGGAGAGTGAAATTAGAAGGTGTGAAATTGGCGCGAAGCATGCGTTCAATACGATATTGAAAGTATGTCTTATAAAAATACCCTATTTTAGTTGCTGATATAACTGAAGGATCGAAGTGGATAGGATAAAGTTGCCAAGTGTGAAAGAGAACTGTGAAGTCTCAGCAATGACCTTGTTAATTAATTGAAAGAGAACAAGATAATTATAAGATAGAGGTACAGGGATATAAATAGCGTTCCTAGCTAGCCATGTACTCTGAGGGGTACATTCCCTTATTAACTGTATTGCATTGCTACAGTAACCCACGACTATTGCTATTCTAGACAGTTACCATGTTCCACTTTGTAACTGCCTCGTGCGGTTACTGGGCAATCAAGGGTCACGACTGTTGACTGTCTTCGACCGTTGACCTTCGAGTGACCCTCGGACTTCCGCGTGCTCTATATGAGCTATTGCGGTACTAGTACAGGCGTACACTTCGTTATGGAGTGACGCGAGAGTGGGGAACCTTCGAGAATGTTTAGAATAATCTTTCGGTTATTCCAACATTAGTTTCACATAGAGTGTGTTGCAGCGGAAGATTTGACCTTAGGTCAAAGTGAATTGAAATTGACTAAGGTGATAAAAACATGCAAATACAAATGTTTTTATATAAGAGTACAGTGGAATACGTAGCGACCTAGTCTAGCCATGTATTCTAAGAGGTACAATCCCTTATTGCAGCGAAACCCAGCCGTACGATTTCGGACGGTTACGAACATGTACTTGACCAATCATTGCTCATGCAACAGCCCAATGCTTCTACCGCGTCGGTCAAGAGCTGCCTAATTGTGCGCGACTCTTTGCGTTACTTCGACTTTTCGCCTTCGTACTCTTCATTGCGTCCCTCGTTTGCTAGTGATAGGACTGCACAGTACTTCACATTGTACTATTCGTAACAGCCCCCTCCGTTCGTGGCCGTAGCAAGTCTTTGTCGAAGAGAAAGGCCCAGCCCTCGCTTGGGCGCAACCGATCTCGCCGTCGACGAGAAGTTCGTGACGTATTGGTCGACGAAATAGGCTTCTGCAGTTCGACGGAAGTTGCGGTTGAGCAGGCCCTGCTCGACAGAATCTGGTCGACGAGCTCCGCGCGACGAGCTTTGGTCGACGATCTCTGCACGACTAGCTCCCGTCGGAGAGCGCTCGTCGAAGAACGCTGGTCGAAAAGTTCGGGTCGATGAACTCTGGTCAAAGAGTTCAGGTTGAGAAGCTCTGCTCGGTGAACGCTGTTCGACCGAGCGATGTCGAGCTGATCAACTGAAGTTGCAGAGTTGTGCAAAACTTTGTGAAGGCGTGCGAACATTCGCACAGGAGATTTTGGCGAAGTTCTACATGCGGAACGACATCACGTGGTCGACGGTGCGCACCTGGCGAAACCGACGACACGTTTTCTACCTGGCACCTGCGCAATGTGCCTGACGGTGAAACCGCCAATCTGCACCTACTTGGTAGGTGTGCACATCTGCGCAGATAGACAACCTGCGACTGCAGATAGTTTACCTGCGACTGCAGTGCTGGCAGACCACGCCCAGAGCAACGTTGGCAGATTACTCTGCTGCAGGTTCGCGAGCCGCTCTTCTGCTGCGCTGGCAAACTTCGCCCTTGCTAGGTGTTGCATGCCATTCGAGCCCTGTTGTTCTGCATGCCTCAATTGTATTATCAACTTTTCAATGCAAATTGTTCTTTCAACTTCCTTAGTGGAATTCTTGCCAAACTTCTCCGTGAACACAAGCAAGAAATAAGAACACTTCTAGAGTGCTACGTTCACTTGCACAACCTCGTCCCCTCCTCCGTAGTCCACTCACGTTGTGTGGTGAGCGTGGACGGCCCCGCATTAGAACCTTCAGATAGCCGACTTCTGCGTTCATTAGCTAAGTCGTTGTAGGCTAGCAGCTGCCTTAGTCACCATGGTCGACCCTGTAGTCGAAGCAGGCGTGTAAGATACCCTGCAGGCGAGAGAGGCTGGTGTTCGGACATGCCACGAGGCTGGCGGGTATGGCGAGGCAGACTTAAAACTCGTGCGCACTGGGCGTGTGAGCACCCCTTCCCCGTGTAGAAGCGGACGACGCGTCCGCCTCTCCTCGACCCATGCACAACGAAGGCGATGGCGGCTGTGAGAGTACGACGGTGTCAAACTTATATGCTATAGTCTGTGTAGGCTGTAGTGGGGTAGACAATATGGGGTACAACATTTCTAGGTTTTCCTACTTGTACCCACCTGCTTGCTAGTTCATTCATTCCTCATTCTTCACAGACGGCTTATGCCAGCTATTCTTGCTTGCCTTTGCTTTATCATGCTATTTCTAGCTTAGGATACTTATATGCATGCATGAATTGCTTGATTTCCTAGGCTAGGTGCTTTCTTATATTTTATTATAGTTATAGCACCGAGCTAGGTTACGTGCACCGAATTATGGCTTTTCGGTTGCCACCGAATTGCCTTCTACCGAATTCGGGAAGGATCTGTTCGGGACGCTTCGCGACCCGCGGAACCTTCGCGTAACACCTGGTTACTGGGCCTTGTGTCAAGCCTATATAGAGCCTCGTGTTGTACCCAGGTGATCATTCAATTCAATTCATATTCTCTTTTCTGAGCTTGATCCTAGATCCTCACACTTGGTAATCAGAGCTTGTTTAGACGCGAAGTTTTTCGACCGCTAAAACCTAGTTTTTTTTTTTTTTTTTTTTTTGGTGAGCATAAGTACACTACACGTAATACACTCGCAGTCGTAACTGATTCTAGGAGGGCATGCAGGTGGCTACAGGTAACCAGGCCCCCCCTTCTATCTCACGGGGGTTGAAAGGCTACACCGCCATCTTCCCATATGGCCTTGAAGCCCGCTCTCCACGTCATCAAGGCTTCGCTCTCGTACAGTCTGCTCAAAGCTTTTGCCTCGTCAGCATCCAGATGACTCCACTCCCCTGTCCTCTTCGAAACACTCTTACCAGCCGACCGTTTCCGCACTCTGCTGTATATCTTCACGTGTCTTGTAAAGCCAACCGCTATGTTCCTCAGTGCCCTCTTAGGCTGGAAACGGCTGCCACGGAACACCGCATTGCACCTCTCCAGCCACACTTGCTGTGCTGTAATTGAAATGATTGCAGCTTCCGGAAAACCGGTCGACGTGCCACTTTTCTGGAACAGCATGTCTCCAAGAGACTTCATTTCCCTGCCCGGGTTCATGCACTGTACCACGCCCTTCATCACCTCAACCACTGGCTGTATCGCCGGGCAGCTGAATAAACAGTGATCCTGCGACTCCACCCCTCCACAGTGTACACACTTAGCCCTCTCCCCTAGGAAGGGGAGCCTCTCCCCCACTTGCAGGTTGTTGTTGTGCAGCCTCAGCACCACCTCCCTCGCTCTGCATGGGGTTGCCAAAGAGTTCCGGACCGTGATGGCCTTCCCCCAGTCGATCCTCTTTCCCGTCTCCTCCTCCCACCGCAACTGCTGCTTGGGCTGAGACAGCGAGGGTTTCATCGCCTTCCTCAGCTGCTGCATCTCGGCTCGTTCTCCCTTTTCACAGATCGGAGTGTGTAGCAGCCTTGTTCTTGGGGTACCTAGCGGGCCGCGAACTCTCGTTCCAGGACCACCTCGCTTTTGAGGCTTCTGCTACCATCTGTGCCTTTGGCCACCAGGTCCCCCAGGCGGACACCTTTCAGACAGAGTGAGCCTGCTTGATTTCCGAAAGGCGAACCACCCCTGAAGAAAATCTTGCGGTTAAAAAGCAGCTGCTCCTCCTCTGCGTCCCATCTGTGTGCAGGGTCGCCCATGGTCACAATTTTCGATTCCCACAGCGCCTTCACCGCTGCCTTCCACCTCGTGCCCCCTCCCAGCCAATGCTTCAGCACTGAGGGGTGGGCGTAGATCGTGGCCAGGCCGAGCGGGAAACCGGCCGCCCTCTCCCATAGCCAATTCCGCAGCGGCACCTGTTCTGCCAAAACTTTTCCCAAATTTTGTATCACAGTGCTGTCAATCCGCTGCTTCAGGTCGATCACTCCCAGACCTCCTTCTTTCCCCCCCCTGCACGACAGCTCGTAACTCCAGAGGATGAAATGCCGATCGAGGAGCGCCTTTCCACCCGAAATGAAGTTGTGGCACAGTCTTTTCACCTTGGTCCAGATATCATACGGCGGAGCATATATCTGTGCTTGAAACAGCAAGATCGGCATCGCGTAGCTATTTATGATTGTGACCCTCGCCGATGTCTTAAGGTGCTTTGATTCCCAACAGCTCAACACCGCGCTGACCTTTTCAAACGCTTTGTCCCATGCAGGACCCGGCGACCCACCAGAGGTTATCCAGATTCTGAGCAACCGCTCCGACTTGCCCTTGTCAGCCCATATGAAGGGCGACATTATCGGCTGCAACCGCCTCCTATTCTTTCCCAGCGGCATCAGTGTCGTTTTGCTGCTGTTCACCCTCAGCCCCGAAATTGCTGCAAATTCGTCGAGCAGTTTTCCCGCTGTAGCCACTTGCTCCTTTCCTCTCAGGACAAGGGTTGTATCATCTGCGTATCCAATATAGGCGAGCTCCCCCTTCACCCCCCGTTTCCGAACTCCCAGATTTCTCCTCCCTATCTCTTGGCAGAGCGGCTCCACCGCGCAAAGGAAGAGGTACGGGGCGAGCGGACAACCTTGCCGCACCCCCTTGTCCATCGCCACACGATCTCCTACCCACCCGTTCAGCAGCATCTTGGTTGCCGCGCCATCGTGCAGCCCTCTCACCCAATGCACATACTTCTCCGGAAAGCCCATGTTGTTCAGCGTCGTGAACAGGTAGTCTCGCGACACAGAATCGTAAGCTTTTTGAAAGTCCACCAGCAACAGCAGCCAATCTTCATCCTCCTCCTCCGCAGCGTCGATTACATCCGCTACCAGCGAGACCGCGTCAGCGAGGCTCCTCCCCGGAAGAAAGCCAAACTGTTTGTCCGAGATCACCCGTGGTAAGACTTGCTTGATTCTGTTCGCCATCACTTTCGCCAGTAGTTTATAGAAAAAACTCAGTAACGTGATCAGTCTGTAATTGCCCAAATCGCATCTGTCTCCTTTCTTGTGTAGCAGGATGGTAACCGCAGTTGTCAACGCCTCCGAGAGTACCCCCGTCGACTCAAAACCTTTAACCTCCTTCATCACAGCCGGGCCAAGCAGCTCCCAATGATGCTAAAAAAATTCCTTCGGTAGACCGTCTTGCCCTGGAGCTTTCCCCACTGGCAAACCTTTGAGCGCTGCTTTCACCTCTTTCTCAGACCACTCCGCACCAAGCTGTAGTTGATCCTTTTCCTGCAGTATCTTGCTTTCATCTATTGGCCACGGCACCATGGTATGATTTGGCGGTGACTCCGCGTACGCTTCTCTGAAGTGCTCGGAGGCCGCCTGTAACACTTCCTTCGCCCCTTTCCTCTGCGTCTCCTTGAAAACTAACTCCAGAATCTCCGTCTTTGCCTTTCTCGACTTGACCAGCCCCGACAAGAAACCCGAGGGCGTCTCGCTCGCCAGCTCCATCAGCATCCCTGTCATGACCTGCAACCGCTCCTTGTTACTGTCATGATAGAGCTTGAGCGCTGCTTCAGCCTTGACGAGCTTCTCGTATAAGCCTTGTGATTTGGCGTCTGCCATCACTTTCCACCGCAGCTCTTCCACTTTCTGCTCCAGATGTGCCAAGGTCGCTCTCACCCTCTTCCTCTCTTCTGTTACATGAGCCCGCATGCAGGCTCGCAGGTTCACCACAAGTCTCTCCAGGCTTTGATCGGAGCTGCTCTCGTGCGCCGTCACCACTGCTGAAATGATGTTCTTGACCCCTTCACCCCCGGGTCGAGGTGCCTGGTGCCTCCACAAGCCAGGACCGTGGTCGTCCGCTGCCGACGCCTTGAGCGCCACCTTCACCGCAAACCAGTGGTCAGTCAGGCCATAGGGTACCATGCAGTGCTTCGCCTCCGTTACACACCCGAGTAGGGAATGAGAAACTAACGCCCTGTCAATCCGCGTACTCGTCCTTGCAGATCTAGAGAAGAAAGTAAATTCTTTACACGTCGGGTGAAGACTCCGGAAAGCATCCTGCAGGTCCCATCTCGAGCATATCTGCAGAAGCTTCTGGTTCTCCGCCGGAGTCCCCAGCTTCGAGGACTTATCCAACTCCGGGTCCGCTACGATGTTCAAGTCTCCTATGAGGACGGTATAGGGAGAGGCGGCCAGGCCTTGTACGAAAGGGGATAACTCATCACGGAAGAAGATCCCCCTGGCAGTTGCCTGTGCCGGCAGATATATTGCCACTATTCTGCACTTCAGATCCCGCCAAGATACCATCAGGCTCAAGAGTCGACCAGACGCATGTTTACTAACTTCTGTGAAACGCTCCCTGGCAGGAAACCCAAGACCGCCACCCCTCCTGCTCTCTGCGATAGGCCAACCACGACCTGAGCCTCTGATCTAACTTGCGTCCAGAAATTGTGATCGGCTGGAACACGCGTATCAGTAAGTACCACATGTCAGAATATGTTGTTTGTGTAGCCTGCAGTGGGGTACTCTATAGTGAGTACAGCCCCTTAGGGTTTGCTATTTGTATCCTGCTGCTTGCTTGTTCAATCATTCCCTTCTCAATTCTGTTCCTACACACATTCCTAGCTCGTACTTGGCTCCTCGTTACTAGTCCTACTGTGGCCTAGGCTACTAAGCCTAGGCCGTACTCCTACTACTTCTGACACCACAATCCTCGCTGCTTTCCTGATCCATTGTGCGCATCGTTCTTGCTTCCCGCTGCTACCGAGCCCGTTGATGTTGAGCTCGAGAATGGTTAGGTTGTTGTGCTTATTCATTGGGCCACTCCTTTGAGCCCCACAACATCCACGGGCGATCGAGTTTTATTGCGACGATACAACCAGCTACAGCGAAAGAGAACATAGCACCGACTACACAGCCTGCTCCCAAAATCCACCTTGCCGCCTCCTCCCTTCTCTTCATAGTGCACTCGTCCAGGTCACTGCTCACTTCGCTGCCGGTTTGACAATGAAGTCCTTTTTGAAAGCAGCCATCTTCTGAGAGTGCTTGGAACGCACAGTTCTCGCCTAATATTAGGCATTTTGCCATGGAAATGGAGCCATGGCCATGGCGGAGAGCTTTAACTAACCCAATGTCCATCAATTTCTTGCCTGATGTCAACATTGAAGTTACCAGACGATGCGCGGTTACGTCCTCTTCACAATGGTGCTCTTTTAGTGTTCATTACGGGAACCTAACCACCATTTATTTGAGTTCCAGGCAATCGTCTGTGTTTCAGTGTGCATCCTGCAAGCTAAGAGTTCAAGGCTATTATCAAGGCTATAAGCAGCTCCATGGATACTACCGCGCGCCATTATCATTGTCTCCATCAGGTCGCGTCGACATCAATGGTTTTTCAACAAACAACTCAGTGTTTCCCAAGGACAACTATCTTCGAGGCTCTGGGCCATTCCCTGAGGACGCACTTGTCGCCTCGGGCCTGGACCTGCAGCGTTTCGCTTTTAAACACAGGAGATATAAGACATCGGAGGTTTTGGTGCTCAGATCAGCTTTTTCTCCAGCCACTCTCAGGCTGTCAAGCCTTTCTCATCATCGCACAATGGTGAAACCGCGTAGCAACAAAGCTGGCAAGAAGTTGGAGGGAGGTGACCACGGAAAGGAGACGGAGACAAATGCTCCTGACGTACCTGTGCCAGACGCTGCTGACAAGAGCCGGGCCATCTCCCCAGCGACGCCTGCTGTGCTTGGCCCTTTTGAAGACCTGCTTGATCTGCAAAGCAAGGCGGACAATGCTGCTGGTACTGGTGATGGCGTCGCTGTTGACGAGGCGACTTCTGGAGGACAAGATCAAGTCCCGGTGAAAGAAGGATCTACTGACATGGACAATAAGGATGATGAAGAAGAAGACTTGTCTGATCCGGTCCCGGAGGAGGAAGACGATGGATATCTGAGTGACGACTCGGACGAACACCTGGAACCTGCCTCGCTCTCCAGTGCTTTGGCTCTGAAACGTTTCACAGTAACCTTGCTAGTGCCGATCCTCAGGAAAACGGAAGTCAAGCGCGCTGCTGTTACGATAGCTGCGTTGTTGGACGACTGGAAGGACCAGTTAACTCCGGATGTGCTGCAGACCACGACCTACCAGGAGCTTTCGGCGACCTTCTTCTCTGGCACACGCTACGGTCGGCTGCAAGTCACATTTAACCATGTCAGAGACGCGAACTTCGTATGGAATCAAGTCATCAAACACGAGTGTGTGAATGGGGACATCATCGACCTTACCTGGCAATTCCTTGAAGACGCGCGCTTCCTCCGAGAACGTGTTCTGAACCCGTTGGCGCAGGAGGTGGTGGTCAAGGGGGTGCCGGCAGAAATCACTGCGGAGCTTATTCGCCATCTGCTGGTTGTGTCAAAGCTGGTCAAGCGAGGCAGGAGTGCTTTTGCCAGCGGTTTTGGCTTTCACCGTACGCTGGATTCGGTTTCTGGGCTTGATACTGACCGTATTCGTGGGCTGGTTGTTCCTCATGCTGACGATGAGTATCGCTGGAGGTATTTTGTGGAAGAGCCGACGTCGAAGAAACGCTACCTGCTTCATTACCCGTCACTCACCTGCGAGTTCTGCAGCGGTCCGCATATGTCTCGTTACCACGATCACTATGTCACGCCGAGATAGGAAAACTTCACCAACTGGAACCTGACGGTTAAAAAGGTTCATGACATGAACGGTACTCGCCGAGCTCTTTCGCGTCTCTTCCCTTTGCAGTACTTACCGCTCGATCCACTTCTCATACCTTATCCTAACGGTTTTTTCCTTACCTCTTCTCGCAGCTGCATCCCTGAAAGCCACCACCTTCCTGAGACGTATCCTGAAGGATCCCGCAGTTATACTCACCTCCACAGGAGGGATGCGGGAGGAGTGGGTGTGTGTGCAGACCGTATGCGAGAAGGCACAGGGGAACCGGTTCGAGCAGGCAGCGGCTCACGTTGCATCTGCCAAGCACAAGGGGGGTTTGCGTACAGACGGAGAGGCAACCCGTGCCAGCAAATACCTAGCTTATAAAACCGCAAGGGCGACGACGAAAAGCGCCGATTACGGGTACGTAAACCAGTTCCGCGCTATTTTTTAACGTCCCCCTCGAACCGGTTTTTCGAAAACTCCTCAGGTCCAGTGGCGAAAAAGTTGGAATTTCGATCGTCAGATCGATTCGAATCTCAACGGCCCTGAGAATTTCGCCCAAAAATAGTTGGAATTTGGAGCGTCGGATCGAATTTCTTCTCAACGGCCGAGATCGGACGCGAATTTCACTCAAAGGAGAATTACTCGACCTGCAGAATCAGCGCTCGTCATTTCTACAGTCGACTCGACTCACAGTAAGATGCCCAGCGCCTAGAATTCATTCATTTTCGTCGCAAATTTTCCTGTAAATCGCCAAATGGAGGAAAATGGTGATAATTCCGTACGAAAAATTACGGAGTTACACACCGGCCTGGACCAGACGCGAGCGGCACTCCAGCGAATAGAGGAGCTTCTCGCGAACCAGTCGGCAGCCGCCATAGCAGCAGCGAACACAGCGGCGAACGCAGCAGCGACGTCAGCAGCAGCAGCGGCGACACCGACACTTAACTCAGCAGCAGCGGCAGCGGCTACAGTGAATCTTGAGGCGGCACATCCGAGGCTACCGGACACGTTCAATCCGAATGCAAGAGACACCGACGTCTGTCGATTCATTGCGACCCTCGAAATTTACTTCGAGGCCGTTGGCTGTACGACCCCGACATATGATGCAATGCAGATTCGGCTCGCAGCGACACTATTACAAGGCCCGGCGCTCGAGTGGATTTACAATAGCAACTAGGTCCGAGGCGAGGGGTCATGGACGCAGTTTCGGGAAGCTTTAATTCAACGTTTCGAACCAATCAACTCCAGCTACATGGCGCGGCAGCAGATTCATCGGCATAAACAGCTCGGCAGTGTAACACAGTACACGCAGCAGATGGAGAGCCTCTTCAACCGAATTACCGACCTGACCGAAGGGGAAAAAATCCAAGCGTATACAGAGGGGCTAAAGATGGAAGTCCGCCAACAGGTGATTGCCGCGAACTACAACAACTACCGCAACATGGTGTGTGCAGCAGAGAGATTCGATGCGCTGACGCGAGATCAACCCGAGACACGACGCCACGTGCCGAACCGATCATTTGGCACGAAGCGATCGGCACCACCCACGACCGCCGACCCGATGGATATCGACAAGATCGACGCGAAGCAGCGGCCGACAAAATATGAGAAGTGCGAATTTTGTGGTGCAGCAGGACATCGACTCTTGGCGTGTTGGAAAATGAAGAAGGCACGAGCGGAGGTGCAGGGCAACAACAGTGCGACATCCACGATGGCGAAAAAGGGAGGACACGATGGCGCGAATTTAAAACGCCATGACCGGCCGGCAACAGGGGTAATCGCCGAGACAAATGGAGGCTCCGCGAAACAAGACTCTGTACCGACTGGGAAACTCCAGCCGAACACCCCCGAGACTAAGAATATTCCCTCTCGAGGTTTTCAAGCCTTAAAAAAATTCAGGGGAGATTTCAAGGCGAAGAAAAAGCCTTCAGACATCATTCAGGTACCTGAGAAGTTGGGCAAACCACTCCGAAGCGTTGAAAAGGGTCGTGCGTTCCAAGGAGTTACTATTCTCTCCCCGCAGCATGGTGTTAAGGCTCCCTATTGCCCACAGGTGAAGCCTACACAGCTGCAAAGGATTAAGAGAAGGTTCCAGGCCAAGACGAAGCTGAATCAGCCTCGGATAAATCCTTCTACCCCTACTCAGTTGAAAACTGATATGGAGTCAGCAGCTTCGAGCGCAGGACCGAGGGATGATCTATTCGACGTACCCTACGATCCTATAAGCGAGACCATCTACGGTTACTCAGAGCAGCAACAACCACTACTACTCGAGGTGATCTGCAGCGGGCGACACCTCCGGGCACTGGTGGATAGCGGTGCGTCTCACTCGGTGTGCGACCACGGGATGTTGGAGAAAACTGGAGAATCTTCGGAGGAGACCAAGTTCTCGGCAACAATGGTGGACGGTACGAAACTTTCCATCCACGGCGAAGAATCACTGCAGCTGCACATAGGGGCGCTGAGGTTGAAGCCGACGTTGCCGATCACGAACATCAAGGGATCAGATTTCATCTTTGGGCGAGATTTCTTGAAGCGGTTCAACCCCGAGATCGATTGGGTCAACAGGAAGGCGTGCATCTACAACAACGGGAAACGAGTGGAGCTGCGAAGCTGGACGGATACAGGGAGCGTTCCTGAAACGACACTAGCACGGTTCGAACGGACGGTGAACGAGAGTAACACGCGTTACTTAGCACTGGTTATGGCAGCAGCAGAGGAGAAGCCGAGCTCGGAGCTACCTGCAGCAGTGAAGGAGGTCTTGGAGCAGTACAAGGATATAATGCCCGACGACCGACCCGCAGGCGTACCTCCAGCACGCACCCACGAGCACGAGATCGTGGAGGTACCAGGTGCGAAACCCGTCTCACGTGCACCATACCGACTGAGTCCGACCGAACTGACTGACATGAAGAAGCAGATAGAGTATCTACTAGATAGACAACTGATCCGCCCATCCACCTCTCCCTATGGTGCACCAGTCCTCTTCACTCCAAAACCAGACGGCAATTTACGGATGTGCATCGACTACCGCGCACTGAACGAACAGACAGTTAAAAACAAATACCCCATACCGCGCATAGACGACCTACTGGACCAACTGCGTGGTGCAACAGTCTTTTCGAAGCTGGACCTACGGTCGGGTTACTGGCAGATCAAGATGGCGGACAACTCGATCCACAAGACGGCGTTCCGTACCAGGTACGGCTCCTACAAATACTTGGTGATGCCGTTCGGACTCTGCAACGCACCAGCAACGTTCCAAGCGGAGATGAACCACATCCTACGGCCCCTGCTGGACAAGTGCGTAGTGGTATACCTGGACGATATCCTTATCTACTCTAAGAATATGAAGGAGCACGTGGAGCATCTGCGGAAGGTGTTCGAGATCCTGCGGAAAAACAAGTTCTACGTGAAGCTGTCAAAGAGCGACTTTGCACTGAAGAAGGTGCAGTTTCTCGGGCACATGGTGAGTGCCGAGGGCGTACACGTGGACCCGCGGAAGATCGAAGCCGTCAAGTAGTGGAAAGTACCGGAGAACGTGAAGGAGTTGCAGCAGTTCCTAGGCTTCGCCAACTACTACAACAGGTTCGTGCCGAAGTACGCTAAAATAGCAGCGCCACTGACCGACCTACTGAAAAAGGATACACCTTACAAGTGGGATACTCCTCACCAGCAAGCCATGGAGCAGCTACAGACAGCACTGACTACAGCGCCAGTACTCATCCTACCGGACCCAGACAAGGACTACGTGGTGGAAGCAGACGCTAGTGACCAAGCAGTCGGAGCAGTACTGATGCAGGATCACGGACGCGGTTTGTAGCCCATCGCCTACCTCAGTAAGAAATTACACGGAGCAGAACTGAACTACCCCATCCATGACAAGGAAGCCTTAGCGATAGTCATAGCCTTCAAGGCGTGGAGGTGTTACCTAGAGGGAGCCAAGACTACAGTCTATACTGACCACTGCAGTCTCAAATACCTGAAGTCGCAACCGACACTCTCACGACGACAGGTGCGGTGGGTGGACTTCTTGGAAACCCACTTCCACTACGACATCGTCTACAAGCCCGGACTACACAACAAGGCAGACGCGTTGAGCCGCCCCGGACATGTAGCAGACATCCAGCTCGACGGGAAGAACCCTCTGCTCAAGGGTCTATTCCAACATGGGTACTCCGTGGACGCAGAGATTGTTACAGCACAGACCAAGAAGCTGTTACAGTGGGAGAAAGACTTAGCGGTAAGGAAGGGTTCAAGAAAGATTTGGGTACCGAATTACGCCCCGCTACGGCAGATCCTATTGGAGGAGTTTCACGACGTACCATACGCGGGACATTTCGGGAGCAACAAGACGTTAGCAGGGATAGCGAAGTATTCCTACTGGCCCGGGATGGCAGCAGACGTGCAGCAGTTCGTCACCTCTTGCGACACGTGCCAGCGGATGAAGAGTAGCAAGCAGAAAAAAGCAGGGTTACTTCAGCCTCTACCTGTACCGGAGCAGCCATGGCAGGTCGTTAGCCTCGACTTCATCACAGGACTTCCTTCGACCTCACGGGGGTACGATTCCATTCTCGTAGTGATTGATAAGTTCTCCAAAATGGGTCACTTCATACCGACCAACGCCACAGCTACAGCTGAAGCAACTGCTCGCCTCTTCTTCGACCGCATCATCACCATCCACGGCATCCCCGCTACACTCATCTCAGACAGAGACCCCAAATTCACGAGTAAGTTCTGGAAGGAGCTCATGGGATTATTGGGGACTAAACTTGCGATGTCCTCAGCATACCACCCACAGACTGACGGACAGACCGAGCGACTCAATCAAGTGGTTGAACAGTTACTGCGCACAGCTTGCAAAGACGACATCAGCCACTGGGACACACAGTACCGACCCTAGAGTTCGCTTACAACAACGCGTCACATGCGGCCACAGGGAAAACTCCTTTCTTCCTGTGTTACGGACGGGAACCACTTACCATACAGCACCC